CAAAATAAAATCTTATCCATAATGGAGTTTTCTCCTTATATATTCCTGATGATATATTACTGTGTGTAGAGTTCTAATGAAATTTAAAGAATTAATGTACTCCTAGTTTATTAACAAAATTTATAACTTGTTATAAATTATTGATAAGTTTAAAACAAATTTGAATAGTCATTTCGGAGTGAAGGCATCCATACTAAACTGTAGACTGGATCTTTCTATTGATTAGACCATTTTCAATCTTCAGAAGTTGATAAAGTCACTACATGATAGTTAGTTCCGTTCTCCTTTTAAATTTCTTTACACAATGTCTTTCTATAATGCATACATTTCGAGTAGAACTGCGAACTCACAGCTTTGAAATCTTAGTAATCAAGGTATTGTGTTTTTTGACGCATTAGTTCGCTATTATCATGGTCAACTTTCTGTCATTTCCAGGCTTTACTCTCAGCTAGTAGGCGAGGCGAGGTTTCCTAGTGGGTGCATCAGTTGGGAATCAAACCTGGCTGATGTATGATTTCAAAAACTCCATTTTATGGTTGAGCTGTGAATGAAGAACTAATCGAGAATGATGTAAATTTCTCTGTTCAGTTCACTGCTTTTTATCTAAGAAGCAGTGTTCAGTGAAGTATTACTGTTTTCAGCGGTATCATTATCAAACAGTAGAGTTGCATATATATGTAGTAAATTTTCAAAGCAATAGAATAAATGTCTCCAGTAATGTGTCACTTAAATTACAAGTTATAAACTAATCGTTAATCCAGTGAAAACTAAAGTAGAATTAATTGATTGATTACTAGAAATAACCGATATTTATCTACTTACAATTTATTGTAATAATTCTCCATATCTTTCATCTACTTGTGTATCTTAGAATGTTTCGCTTTTCTGTGATGAAAAGGAGAAACAGCATAAATCAGCGTTCTCCTTCTCAGTGAAAATTCTCCCACTTTTTCAGTGATATCTTTCCACATATTTTTTCGCCTTTTTAGTAACAACTGTTTATGTCATAACATATATTTATTTCCCCTTAATGAATTTAAATAAAACAAGAACAACAACGGTTTGTGTAGAATAATAAAGTAGGACCCTTCTTTGTTTATTTCGTTGACTTCTCATCAGGTGCTTACAGGCCAAAGACAGTATTAAGTATATCTACAGACACAATTTTAACATACTTGCACAGCCAGTTCATTTCTAAACAAAAATCAATCAATATATGCATACAGCAATAATATATACAATAATAATAACAACAATAAACACTTTATTCCGATATTAATGATCATACACAATGGAAACTTTCAGCATTACGTAATCAGATGAAAAACGGGGTGAAAATATCCAGTTACCAGACAGAGCAATGAAAGACTGATAACCGCTACTTTCTGAACGCATCAATCGAGTTTCAGGTGCTTGATTAAAAAGATTGATTCGGCAAACTTAAGGACAATTGAACTCTTTTGCCTGTTGATAATTTTGAACGATCTTTCGACGTCCATTTCATGACCCATGTCAAGAAGATGTAATATTTTCTTTATTTTTCATCTTTTTATCGGCTGATCAAGTCATCTAATAACTTAGTTCCGTCTCTTATAACCTTTCATATGTTTTGCTGTCGACTTCGTCACAATCCAACATAAGTTAGAGAAATCATTAAAGACCACGAACACTGGATAACTTTTTAGTCCTCATCTGGGGCACTTTGGTAATGTGCACCAATGACCTCATCAAGTAAAGAACGCTGTACCTTCAAGTTACAAAATCAAGATTCTTTGATCATTTAGCCAGCCAATTGTGACAAAACTCATTGATCCGTCAATCGTAAATTTTTTTAACCCATGTCATAGCACTAACATTAACCAATGGCTTAAATAGGCATATCCTTCACCACCTGTCTCGTGTCCCCTGGTTTTCAGTGAATCTCCCTAAATGATTTTGATTCAAGTATTAGTTTGGAGGGATTTGATTGGTTTCAGGATTTCATCATGAACTGACGTTGGTTAGAGGACCACTGTAAAACCTAGGGGTGATGAAATCCTGGAAGCATTCAAATCTCCGCAAACCAACAATCTAATGGTCACTAGTGAGCGGCCCTATTCACGTAGGCAGTTACCCGGGTTCTAGTGGGAAGTCGTGACCAGTGGGATTATCGCCACCACTGACATTGGCTAGTGCCAGTCACACTATATCGTGAATTGGCTGGAGTTGGAATTCATGGACTGGTCACTGGATCGGGTCCTACTGGCTTAGTGGCCTACAAGCTCATCTTTCCACTGGAGGGTCCTGGGTCCAAGATCCTGTGTTGGTGCTTGCCGCTGAAGAGTCTCAAGCTACACCGATGAAACAGCTGTTCAGTACTCCAGTGGTGGTTTGGCAGTGGTCCCCTAACTGATATCAGTTCATGATGAAATCCTGAGCTTGGTTCATCACAAAATCCCTACAAAAATCCGTAGTCTAGATATCGCTCCCACCAAATGTAAGATGATGTTACAGGGCTGGACACCACTGACTCCTAGCTTAGAAATAGAGAGTGAAGTGCTTGAGCACGTTGACCACTTCGCTTATTTGGGAAGTACCATCAGCCAACGCCAACGGGTTGATCTCTGACGAAATCTCAGCACGAATATCAGAGGGCTAGTTTCACATATACCAGTTTACGCCGTCTGTAGAGTAGACGTGATATCCGGCTATCGACCAATGGGAGGGTGTACTGCTCAGCGCAACAGTCCGCTCCGTCCTCCTTTATGGCTGTGAGACCTGGCCATTGAGGATGGAAGACATAAAAAAGCCGGCTAGCTATCTTTGATCATAGCTGCATGTGTTCTGTCTCCTGTGTGTGTTAAGTGGTATAATAGGGTGAGCAATGTTGAGTTTAGGCATTGGTCGAGTGCTAGGTGAGTGAGGAGGAGAGGAAATCAATCGACGAGGCTGTTAAATTACATCCACTGAGATGGTTAGGGCATGTGTTACGTATGCTTAGTCATCGCCTCCTTCGACTGACGGATAATGTTAGCTGGCTGACATAGAATGGATCAGGCTGGAAAAGAGCTGGGGGCGGTCAAACCAAAACATAGCCTCATCAGTCAATGAAATCCACAACAGTTAGTTTAAGCCATGTTGAAAGGTGAAGACTTCCTAACTGGTTGAGGTCCTCGGGACGGTAAAAACGAATGAAGGCTGGATAATATTAGTGACATGGCTCAAAATCATTCTCAATGGCTGGCGGAGTTAGATGCATCCACTCCTTGTGACTTATGATTTCCAAAGAAACTATATTGTTCTTCGTTATTACTATTCCTTTTTTCTCATATCCCTGTCTAATGTCTCTATTATGCATTTCTTCTACTTTCTTCTCTTGCTTTGTGTGCTACAAGAAGAGAGTGTGGCGACTTGAACTGCCGCACATCGGTGCAAAGTTCTATGTCGAAAACAGACAGACAGACAGTCTAGATATCTTTCATGAGTATTACCAAAGTACAATCTAGCCAAACATCATCTAATGTGTGCTGTTGTACTCTGTAATAAGTAGTTATTTATCTTCATCTATACCTTTTCAGTAACCTGTGAATGCGTATATTTCACATATGGTGAGCTTTGAGGATAATTCTTAAATTCTGCATAAGCTGTTCAGTCTATGGAAGAGAAAATGGTAATAAGGAGAATAAAGATAAAAAATAAGCTCAACTCCAGTTGAAGGCATCTATGCAACATCTTTCACTGCAACAGTGTCGACTCATAAAGATTTATAACAGTAAACAGTGTCTTTCATGCCGAATTCTCTGCTATGAAACCCCCACGTTTTTGTAAAAAAAATGTCGATAGCTTACTTGTATTTATTTGAATTATTTAGTATTGCGAAAACTACTACAGGGTTGTGAATGACAGGAGAAAACAGTCCATAGTGTTCCTAGGATTATATTATCAATTGGATTGAGGATTTCATCATGAGCTGACATCAGTTAGAGAACTACTGGAAAACCACCTGGAGTACTGGACAACTGTTTCTTCCTGTTGACGAGTCCCAAGCTATGACGAAGCACCTGCCCAGTACTCCCAGGTGATTTTTCAGTGGATCTCCAAATGATGTCAGCTCATGATGAAATCCTTCATCTAATCAAACAAAATCCCTACAAAACTAATACTTGAAAATTTATTCGCTACTGACTAGCGACTGGCCCTATTCAGGTGAGAAGTGATGACAAGTAGGATAGAGCAGGTTACAGATGAGGCGGTAAGTCATCGAGGAAGACATTACGAAGTGTTCACACTATGTCATGAATTGGTAGAAGTCAGAATTCATGGACTGGTCTTTGGATTGGGTTCCACTGGCTCAGTGGTCTACGAGCCATCTCGCCTTGTAACCAATGAGTCCTGGGTTCGAACCTCAGTGGCTGTGTACTGTGAAGAATCCGAAACTAGGACGAAATAGCTCTCCAGTACTCCCAGATGGTTTCCTAGTGGTTCTCTGGCTGATGTCAGCTCATAATGAAATCCTGCAAACAACCAAAACAAAAAATCCCTACGAAACCAATATTTGAAAATTATCAATTATCATATGATTTCAGTAAAATACATTCTGAATTCAATATACTACTCATCAGTTGCTCTAAGTAGTGAGACACTACTCAACTCAAAGAGTATCGATTTTCATTGAAGTATTGGTTTCGTAGGGATTTGTTTGATTGGTTGAAGGATATAATCATGAGCTGACATCAGTTAGAGAACCATTCGAGCTGACCTTGTAACCAGAAGGTCCTAGATTCGCGCCGTGGTGTGTGCCTGCTGCTAAAGAGTCACAGACTAGGATGAAACTGAAATCCTGGTACAGCGCAATTTATGGTGAATATACATTCGTACTTTTTTATCTGTAGTTCGTAGAAATCTGAGATCCACAAAGTGGAACGTCCTCCTTTGGGTCTGTTTCATAATGAATTGTATGTGCGTCAGAGCTTAGGACTCTTACACAACATATCCCAAATTTGTTTTTAATTGATATTTAGATTTTCCCGTCGACTGACTGATTGGACCGAAGTGCTCGGCCTCAGGTTGACATGTCGGCTCCTTGTGCAGATGCTTCGACGTTGCCTGGGCAGGTAATTAGAGGTTAACTGGTTGATGGTGACTAGCAGAGAAATCCAGGATAACCCGCGTTTCGTCCTATCAGGGAGCCGTCATCTGGATGTACCTCCATTCCCCAGTGAGTGATAATGTTCTCACTGAGGATCACTGGGGTATGCAGGTACATCTGGCTGACGAGTCCTAAACAGGACACAGTTCGCCTTGTCCTGGATTGTACTGCTAGTCACCATCCACAAATTAAATTCTGCTTTTGTTCTGTCTGACTTTTCTTTGAACCCAGTTACCCAATGTTTAATTTATTTTCGTGACTGCAGAATATTTTTGTAACTTTTCTGTGTTTACCAACAAGGTTGCTGACACCTGCAGGACACGTCTTTCAATCCTGCGTATATTTAATTATGTAATGCTATTGATCGTCACTTTCTAACCAGATAATTAAAAGTTTGTGAGCTTTTACATGTTGACAGTGGAACTATTTAGAGATGAGTGGATATGATGGCATTTGTATGTTTGCCTATGGTATTTATTCACATCATTTTTTCCCTTCTACATTCCTTTTAACAATATTTTTATGATGTTATAGTATAATCAATACACTGACAATCAACACTAAATCCTTGTCTTGTTTACATTGATGAAAAGATTTAAGGTATTTGATATATAAAAATGTACATGCAAGAAAATACTTGTTATTGAAGGTTTTCACGATTTATACTCGTTCATCAGATTGACGCAGTGAATCAACAAATGTTAGAATTGATGATTTATTCTAACTACACACACACACAACAGTATGTAGGTTAACTGAACGAGAAAACAGAAATGTTGTTTTCTGTCGATGATATAATACATATTGATTAGAAGAAGAAGGCGATTCGTTGATGTGTTTCTGCATATGTATACCCCTTAATCCCTAGTCATCCATCAGCCATTACATACATATCAGGCTGTGTGAATGCAAGTCAGATAGCCACAGTGTAAGCAGGTATATACACACCTTCATTTCTTATTAAATATGATTAGAACTGCAGTAATGAACTCTGACCGGCAATTAGTTTATTGATGTTAAGCAGACAGTGACATGTCAATCAATCCATAACAGATTCGATGGAGAAATTAGTCACTGACTGATGTCAAAAATTGGGGTTTTGTGTGATTGATAGGTTTGGTAGCTGAATTAGTTTAATGTACGACTTATACTGCAATATTAAGTTGAATTTCATCTCCATTCATCACCTGTGAGTAGCTGAAGTCACTTTCATTCAACCGAAGGTGACGTAACTTCAGCCAGTTTTTTTTCCATTTTTCACAAACCTTATATTTCCCTGTGTTGGTTGAATTCACAAAACCTGACGCCTTCCTATTAACCAAATTTTGATCTATTACCTTTAAAACCCCTGAATAATAATCCAAATTTAACTTGCTTATGTTGATAATTTGTTGATAATTTATGGTGCTGCATTACCAGAAGTAATAAGGTGGTCTTAAATTGAGCTATCGACTGTCCTCAGTTATCATTTCAGCCACGATGCCGATGGGTGTTGATGAATAGGTTAGGGCGGTGTCCTGCCTGTGAGATCTGTTTATTTAATTCCATAAGAGTAAGTGAACTTATAAATACACATTGAAGTCACCGAATGTAGGTGGGGGAGGATTGTGTATTCGGCGTATTATTGAAAAAGAGCATGTTTAGAGCAGCAACAAAGAACATTTTTTGAATCGCTCCTAATGAAAGGCCTCATATGACTTCATTGATTGCTTACCCTTTGAATTTGAGATTTGCAACTAATTGTTTTCTCTGGAAATGCAGATTTCGCGGAGCATTGGTGTTCCTTTTCAAATGGTTATCGATGAAGGAGGGTAGGCATCCAGTCTTAATTAGAGTGTTTCTTGAGGATTCTGTTCGCTTACTCAATCAATCTTCGGTGCTAATCGTATCAGTTCTTGTCGTGAGAGCGGAGACCAGATTTGTTACATTTATGGATTTATCATTATTATTTATTGTTGTTTCCTTTAATTCCTAGAGGAAAATAGGGTTCAGGAGTACGTCTCTATTGCATTCGGTTCTCCGTCAACGTTTTCACCTCACTCCACGTCTGTCCTCGTGCTTTCATCTCCTCTACATATGACCTCCTATATGTCACCCTTGCATTGACTAACAGCTCGCCGCTTCCCATTCAAGTTAACTCGAGCGATGGTCTGGCGTGTCATATCACTTGATAGTTTGTTTTCTCACAGTATGGTCTCTAACGCGCCTACCTCCATTTCTTCCTGCATATTTTTTGCACAACTGGTTCCTGCTGGGTTGGTTCGTTCCTGGCCAGAGATACCTCTCTGTTGCTAATCATTCCTAGCTGGCCATTTGATCTTGGGTAGCATTGAACGAAGACCGCTGTTGATGAGTGTGTGTAGTTTGTTTGAAGCGCCCTTCGTGACGCGGCGTGGAGCTAAGTTTCTGGTCCGCATACCGTAGCGATTGCTTCATATCGGAGCTGAAAATCTGGATCTTCTTTTTCATGCTGAGTAGTGCCGTTGACCTTCACACAGACTTGAGAGAAATGAAAGCTTGCCTTGATTTCCCGATCGTCGCTGTGATATCCTCATCATTTCCATCCGCCTGCAGTTGAAACGATGCCTCTCAGGTAGGTGAGGGAGGCTGTTTCTTTCAGATTTCTCTCATTTGTACTGATAGCTGTCTGTTGTTTTTGCTGTGGGCCGGGAATCTCCATCACCTCTGTTTTCTCTAGGTTAACTTGGAGCCCCATCTTTGACGATTTTTCTGCCAACTTGTTGCTTTTCACTTGCATATCTTCCATTTCGAGGGAAATCAGACACATATCATTGGCGAAATCCAGATGCTCCAAGTCTTTTGTGTGGGTCCATTTTATGCCCGTCTTCTCATTACCCGCTGTCTGTCTGTTGAACTATCGAGTCTACCGCAATAAGGAAAATCATTGGAGGCATTGAGTAGACTTGTCTTACTTCTTCAAAGGATTTCGTGAGTGTGCCGTTGTTGATTACTTGACATGCAGGATTTTCTTACAACTGTTGGATGAGATGTATATTTGTTGGCTACACCCCGTAGTAGCGAAGTAGTTGACAGGTCACCTCTCGATCAACACTGTTGAAGGCCTTTTCAAAGTCAATGAATTTGACGTAGAGTGGTGACAGCCATTCCAAAAAGTGTTTGGTGATGATACGAAGTACTGTGATTTGATCAATACATGACTTGTTTCTCCTGAATCCAGCCTACTCCGGTCGGAGTTTTTCATCCAGTGCTTGTCTGATTCTCTCCAGGATGATTCGACTTAGTATTTTGCTTGGGATGGATAGGAGCATAATGCCGCGCCAGTTCTTGCATCGAGCTAAGTCTCGTTTCTTTGGCAGTTTGAAAAACTAGGCTTCCCTCCAATCCTCAGGTACCTTGCACTCCTTCCACATCTTCTCCAGCAGTAATGTCTCTGGGTAAATTTCCAATGGTTCTGCCGCGATTCCGTCCGGTCCTGTTGCTTTTCTAGTTCTTAGCATCTTGATCGCCTTCAGGGTTTCTGTTTTTGTCAAAGAGTTGATGTCCACTGGTATTTCTGCTTCCGCTGTTGGTATTTTTATGCGCGTTGTGAGTTGCGGTCGATTTAGAAGTCTTTTGAAGTGTTCAGCCCAGTGTTTTCTTTGTCCCACCTTTTTGGTGATTTTTTTGATTTACAGCTTGATTCCACACTGTATTTTTGGTACAAGTATGGAATTTTCAGCACTGACTTCCCATTGGCATCCTTCACTGGCTTAATTTGTGTTGAACTTTCCCCGAGGTCTCCTTTGCCTTCAGCTTGTTCTGCTTCACTTTCCATAGCTTCATAATATTTCCTTTTTTCTTCCTTGGCACTCTTCTTTACTCTTTAGTTCAGTGTATTGCAGCTTGCATTCAAATCCTGTTTTTGTTGCTCGTCAATGCACTGGATAATCTTTTGTTTTACAATCCTTCTTTCTTCTATTAGTCTTCATATGTCTGTATGCATTTACTTATTATTTATGAAAACAAAAATTTGATGCACCACACAAAATTGCCCATGGTTTGTACAAGGGCTGGGATACTGCATGGACGCCCAGACCGAAGTAGCTGGTTGTCTTAAGGGATCACCCCCATAGTCTTTCACTTGAAGTACATTCCGTAAGGTAGTTGACCAGCGTTAGGCGTAAGATTTTCATGGTTTCTGGTGACCAATATAGGTTTATACGTTTGTTGGATTCAGGAGCTCATGAACACCATTAGTTTGTAATCAGAGTTTCTAAGCTCCCCAAGGTAGTAGACATACACGTTCTGCATCAGTTCAATTATAAGCACCTGCCGATTGCATTCTCTTTTTCATTTTTATGAGGAACACTCTGATCATGTGAAGACAGAAGCAATGAACATGTCACCACATGAAAGTATTTCGAGAAAAAAAAAGATAGAATTTTATCCACTCTCAGTCGTCCCGGCTCGTTAAAAGGAGTATTTACTGCTTTTAAATAAAGTCTGCCCTGCATTTCCATGCCAATACAATCAAAATCACCTGGGCTTTGTCTTGAAACGCGCTTTCGTCCTAAAGTTATTTCCAGTTCAAATGAATTTAGCATTTTGCTTTTATAATAATCAATAAACAGTCTGTACAGTAAATAAGGGGAATGATCATTAATGTCCAATAAAAGACATACATATGAATCCACTATACTGATTGGAACTACAAATAAACAACCAACATTTTGATGTCAGATTACTAGAACTGAATAACGTTAGGCAACAGTGTGTATCTGTTTGTGTGTCTGTGTGTGTGTGTGTGTGTGCAGTCTCTTTGTTATACCGGTAATTGGCAGAAATGTATTTCAGATTTCTAACTCTTCGGCTATCAACCATGTGGACGTTTATTTTTCATATAGGAGAATAAATTATTGTTAATCTATTTTGCCATTTTCAGAGGACTGATTAGTTACACTACTTAGAGGACCACTAGAAAACAAGGGAGTGCCGGACAGCTGT